ATACGAGGAACAGCCTATGCTGCCAGGGTTTCACCAGCAATTGCTAATCGTATAATTGATGCTGCAAAGGGAGTTCTTCTCAAGTTTCTCCCTGATGTTTATCTTTATTCTGACCATTTGAAAGGGGGCCAGTCTGGAAAATCACCAGGTATGATTTATATTTTATACAATCTGTCTTATCTGTATTATTATTTAAGTATCTAACTTTTAGTCTGTTTCTCTTTTAGGTTTTGGAGTTACTTTAGTCGCTGAAACCAAAGAGGGTGTCTTCTACACTGGTGAAGCCATATCTCCACCAGCTGGGTCCAACATTCCAGCCCCGGTAGCTGAAGACCTTGGTGTACAGGCAGCGTTTCGACTAATGGAGGAAATCTATAGAGGAGGGTGTGTTGATTCCAATTTCCAGCTATTAGCTGCACTGTACATGGCCTTAGGACGTACAGATGTTTCTAAATTCCAAACTGGTCCATTATCACCTTACCTGTAAGTCCAAATGTCAATTGTTCTTTACCTTTCAGACAGTATGGTTCTGCATGCATATTTCTTTTATTAAGGCTACTTCTGTATTAATGTCATCATGGGATATTTTAAATTTACTTTGACCAGTAGATTACTTACCATCATGATTATGGATGACAGATGTTTTCTCATTATTAGGAGGTTGCATTGGAAAAGTGACACTTATGGAGAACTTTATCCTAATAACACGTTGAGTCCCAGAGGGGGGTGGGGGTGGGGGGGGCTTTGACATGCTATTGCTATTGTGGCCACACGTGTGGTCATGCGAGACTCAACTTGCTAAGGAAGAGTAGAACGATACATAACAAAAAACAGCATTTGTTTAGGCCTGGTTTTCGAGCTCTGGACCAGTCACAGCTCAGAACAAATGCTGTTGTGTTATGTTCCTGGCCGATCGTTCTACTCTTCCTTAGAGTGAAGTCCTCCACTCGAAAAGTGTTTGCTGTGGTATCCGTGATCTTGACATTATTTCCATTGTTTCAGAATTGAATTTCTTCGTCACATGAGAGACTTTTTTGGCCTTACTTTCAAACTAGACTATCAAAAGGCTGACGAAGATGATGAAGATTTGCATCTTGGAGCTAATAAAGTTGTAATGACTTGTGTTGGAGTAGGTTTTACAAATCTAAGTAAGAAAGTCTCGTGAAAACATAGTTTTACTCACTACATCATGGACAAAACCACTTTTTGTATGATCTAATTGATTGTGAATTTCAAACATGAAATATCCTTGTTACAAAGTATCTGTGATTCTGCATTATTTGTCAAAACTTGTAATAAAAAATATTATACAGTATTTTTGTTGGTTTGTTCTCTTGCACATTCATATCCAGGAGTAGAAATGTGTTATTTTTCTTTGCTATTTTTTTTGAAAGTTTTGAATTTTATTTTTAGTCGGGTATCCATGTAACGGGGAGCAACGACCAGTACAAACAGCAAGTCTGAACTTGTCGGTGTTACGCGTGGGGTAGGGGAGGGGTGGGGACGAAAGTGCTGGCTGTTGGGGAGATTGCAACTTTCCGTGTCTGAACCTTCCAAGAAATGATATAATTTCTAATGTAGGGGCGTCGTCAGTTCGGTCAGCTGTTAAACAAACTTTTTGTGGTGTTTAGTTAGAACATTTTTTGTTTGTTTGTTTTTTCATAACCATCCTCCCCTTCCGCCATGCCTTGTGATTGGTGGATACGAGGTGGTGGGAGAATGGGCTGGTTTGTGATTGGAGGAAAATGTTCCCGCGCATTTTGGGCGCCAGTTTAGTGCTTACAACGGAATCTTCCTGCTTCAGCTTGCCAGCTTGGCTTGTGTCATCATTCGTCGCTGAGCAGTCGTCCTGACAAGACTCGTGTGCCTTTGCTCTATATCTAGCCTTTATTTTGTCCCTCCATTATGGCACCAACCGTCGCTGATACCAAGGAGAATGTTCCCTACATTGGAGGCATGAGCATCAAGGTGAGTTTGTTATAGGAAAATTCTAATATTGCCCGAGTCCCGTCCGTGTTACAAGATGAAGTTACTTTGGACTCATGTAGCCAGAGACCGGTTACGAAAGGGCACCGGATCTCGTCTATGCTTACAGCTATTTGGGAAAATATATTAGTCTTCTAGTTTACTGCCTTTAACCTCAAATGGCTCGTGTTTTGGGAGGAAAGTTGTGTCTAACGGCGAAGTTCTCAAGGATTAGCGTTTTGGCGCCATTTTCCTCCCTTTATGTGCCATGAGTCACATTTTCCGTGGCCAGACTATCCCCTTCTATCTGTATAACGTATTTTCGAAGTTCCATTGTCGTCTGCTTTCCATTATACGTTACGAGGAAATACCTCCTAATTTTTAGTTGGGAAAACCGTGTCTCGCTCTGGCTGTATCAGCTGACTTCATAGCGCTCATCCACTCAGCTCGGTCACGTTTTGCTGATTTCGCATTTTCTTTGATCTTCATGACCGTTTCATTTTTCACTCGGCAGTAGGGAGTGGGGTTTTTGCTGCACGATATTTGCGCACAATTGCGACGTCACATTTTTGCCATTCTAAGCTCTTTCCAGAAGGCCCGGGGCCGGGTTTGTGCAGAGTCCTCTTGCCTATTTTAGTTCTTCTAGGCCGCGACACGGCTGTTAATTCGTTAAATGCGTTTTATGTTGCTGAAGTCTCTAACCTGAACCCCTAAGGCCTGATAAGATGGTGAAATGAGTGTTAGTGTCAACATAAAACAGTATTAAAATTACTTCTGCATTGATAGATCACGTCCATTCTTGTGTTCAAAAATGAGACAAGGATCTTCTTTCTGAAAATAGTCAAAACAATTGCAGGGTTCTTATTACATAATCAGACTTCTCTCTGTAAAAGTATGCGTGAGAGGTCAGTTCAAGTACGCTTATTAAATTATTCCCATATTTGCAAAGCAAAATCATGAATTCTAATCCTGATTGTAGTTGTCATGCCCCACCTTAATGTGTGCCGAGCACATATTAGATGCTTTCTTCCTATTCGATGGTGAGGAGTTTTCACTGCTAAGTTATTTATATACTAATTAGGTCTGGTATCTATCTCAGGACAAGCAGACTACGCCTGTAAAAGCCCTGAAGGAGAAGAACCAAAATATTCCATCCCTTAAAGAGGTATGTTTTAGGCTAGTCAGTTTTATTTTTATATCAATTTTGTTTATTTGTGAATACATGTATTCTTTTGCCTCAGCCTGTTAAAAAGACACCCGTAAAGGATGCCCTTTCTAAGAGAAGAGCTGCGTTTGACAAAGATATTGAACCACTTCTTATGGAGAACCCCCGCAGATTTGTTATCTTTCCTATTCGTTTCCATGATATCTGGGCTATGTACAAGAAAGCAGAAGCTTCATTTTGGACAGCTGAGGAAGTTGACTTGTCAAAGGTATAGAGAGCTCTATTATGTAATCTTTGAAATTAATGGATGATTTCCTTACTCCTAGTTATGACTTTCAGGATCGATCAGATTGGGCAAAGCTGACAAAGGATGAGAAACATTTTATCTCCCATGTCCTTGCCTTCTTTGCTGCTTCTGATGGGATTGTCAATGAAAACTTAGTGGAAAGATTCAGTCAAGAAGTTCAGGTAACAGAAGCACGGTGCTTCTATGGCTTTCAGATTGCAATGGAAAATGTTCACTCAGAAATGTACAGTTTGTTAATCGACACATACATAGCCGATTCCCAAGAGAGGTAATTACTGTGCTTATTTGTCATCCATTGCTCTTTTAAAAATTCTTCCTGGTTTTGTTTGTCATTCACACTTTATTTCAGAGAGTATTTATTTAATGCCATTGAAACACTCCCATGTGTGAAGAAGAAGGCCGATTGGGCCATGAAGTGGATTGCTCATGAGTCTGCCACGTTTGCTGAGCGAGTAATTGCCTTTGCTGCTGTGGAGGGTATCTTCTTCTCTGGAAGCTTTGCTGCCATTTTCTGGCTTAAGAAGAGAGGGCTTATGCCAGGTCTTACCTTCAGCAATGAGTTGATTTCACGAGATGAGGCAAGCTATTTTCTTTCTGTGTTTTGATTTTACATTTTTCTTGGTGTATTATGTTACTAAATAATGTGTTTTTTCACAGGGACTTCACACAGATTTTGCGTGTCTGATGTTCAAACATGTTGTTCAGAAACCCTCTGAAGAGGAAATTGTAAACATCATTCGTGATGCTGTAGCTATTGAACAGGAATTCTTAACCGAAGCTCTACCTTGTGCAATGATTGGGATGAATTGTGACCTCATGAAAATTTACATTGAGTTTGTAGCTGATCGTCTTCTGATCGAACTCGGATGTCAAAAGGTTGAATAATTTTTTAATTGTGTAATGTGCCAGTCTAATGTCGGAAAAGTGCTCACCGCTTAACCCCCCTTTTTTTTTTGCTTGCAGGTTTACAACTCTGAAAACCCATTTGACTTCATGGAGCACATCTCATTAGAAGGCAAGACTAATTTCTTTGAAAAGAAAGTTGGTGAATATCAGAAGTGGGGAGTGATGGCTAATAAGGCGGAGAATGTGTTTACTTTAGATGCTGACTTTTAGGCAGTCACAAGATAATTAGTCCAATTTTAATTTTGACTAATAAGTTTTCATTATTTTTGCATGGATCATTTCATCATTTGTTTCTACCTCTGTATTCTACATATTTTATTTGATAACTATCAGTGGATTAAGGGTAGAGGCTCCTCTTACAACTGTATATTTTATCTTTGTACTGTATATATCTATAGTCACTTAAATGCCACTAGCTTTGACAATGTTACCTGTAGATGTACCACATTTAATTTTAACGTTCAGTGAGATTTTACCTAATGTTTTATGGTTTACCAGTTGATAAGAGGCATTTCCTTTAAATATTTGTTTTTCTACTATGTATGCTTTAATGTTTTGGTTCCTATGAATTGGTTAATCCAAGTCTATTCAAAGTTTTTAGTGTTACACTGTTATTTCTAAGTATTTTCTTACGCAGAACTTTTTTTTAAATAAAGAACTCTGATATCATATTCAGTTTTTTCCATAATTTGAAGAGATCCAAAGTTCCAATATTAATGACATTTCTTAGATGCAACATGTTTATTAAAACTATCACAGTTCATTTGTGTCAATAGTACCACAACCAACTTAATGGGAATGGGAACATACATTAAAGGGGATGGGGCGATACAAACTGAAGATCTTTGCTATCAAGTATACTCCTCATTGCTGTAGACTTTGTGCTACCACATAATAAATACAAAATGTTATCACTTTGGGCGTTTTATGACACCTAGAGACGGAATGACAATGTAAATTTGACCTATGTACATAAATGGTAACAATAAATAGAAAATAGACATCATGGGTTGATGTAAATCCAGTTATCTTGAATGATATATTAGATACTTGCATAGTACCTTTTAATGCTGGATGTTTATAAATTTGAGAAAGCATATTTTAGATTCTTGTGAAATTACACATCACTGGGAAAGACTTTGTAATTTAAATCCTGCATTATTGTACAGGTATATAGTTGGCCCCAAGTACTATAGCTAAACAGAAGTTGAGGAAGAGAGAAGACATCACATGCACATCATCAGCTAACAGTAAAATCAAGGTGAATTCTGGTTTCCTTTTTCTCGTACAGTTCCAGGGAAATAAGAGAGTTACAGAGAGCTTAATCATTAAGAGGAAATTAGTTTATGAGCAATGTTTGTACCTTATCAGTCACAAATAAAGCATGACAATGCCCCCAAGTAGGCTACAGGGAAAGATGCAGTAAAGGAGCTTCAGTGAAATGTCATGGAATGTACAGGTTGACTAACAAGATATACAATTAAAATATCAGTCCTAATGAGCATAGACTCTTATTATTTATGATATCCACAAAATGGAAATGAGCAAAGGATTGCAGAGAATCAGAAAAATGAATTTCTTCACATTTTTCTCTTTTCTTTCCAAGATTTTGAGATTCTCTTTTTTTTTTTTTTTTTATAATGTCAGTGATGGCAAAATGAATAGGAACCTTTTTGATTCCACAGTATATTAGTTTTTAATATAATACCTAAGATTTTTGTTCTTGGTCACAAACTCAGGAATGGAAAATAGCTACAGTAGAGCAAATTTACCACAATTCAGACACTCTCACTAATTTAGAGCTGCACATAAGCTAGATGTGGCTCAGACACAGGCTTTGGTAACATTGTTTGCAGGTTTTGTGAAAATGCTATACTTCACGAATTAATCCTCTGCGGTAGGTAAGAATAGGACCCCCTATTTCTTTAACCTGCTCATTAAGAACTGTATCAATTGTCTTGTAAACATTTTCAGGCAAATGATCTAGGAGCATCCTTGGTTCAATCTTCAACTCAGTAAAGTCTTCTGCTTGGGCCCACCTCATTTCATATGTTGGCCCACCGCGACCCGCTTTCCTGTAAAGAAAAATGCATCATTTAGGGCCCAATTAAATATTTCATTTACAACTTTTTGTTTAAACTTTCTGTTTAGTTACCTGTCAGCTTTACTCTTTTTACGATGTGTGACGTGCAGTATCCGTCCTGCAGTAAACAATCGAGTGCGTGAAAAACGTCTGTCCTTGATATCTTTAGCAAGAAGAGAGCAATCCTTTTGAAAAATATAGAAAATACACAAAAATATTAGTCTGGTGATGTTTATGGTAAGAAAAACTAAAAGAAAATGTAAAAGTACACAAATTTAAAGGCTAACATTACCGAATTATGTGCTCTGGGACGAGGAGTTGATGTGACAACTTGGCTTTTTCTCCAGGTAGACTCTAAGTCTCGGGAAGGTACGCCAAAGAGTGCATACCCACAACCATTCAGGATAATGCGATACTGTATGAAAAATGTATTATTTAACTACCACAAATTATTTTTAATATTTACCATAGGCAGGCTTCATTAAAATTAATACCTTTGGCAATCTACAGGCTTCAAGTACTTCTAAGATTTGCGTCCGTAGGTTTTCAATAGAGTCCACACTGAGTCTCATGACAAAGTCGTCACCCACTCCAATAGTGAACACAAAGCTTTCAGTGTATCGAGCAGCCTCTCGACTAAGCAATCCAGCTGTAATTTAAAAACAAATTAATGCAAGGTTGTTGAGATGGACTTTGGCTCTGAAACTAACTAAATATTAAAGAGTTATTTTTTATTTTATCAACTGGCTGGTTAGGCAATTAGTATTCATTTTTACCTGGAGTAGCGAAAGCGTAGACCTTCATATCAGGGTATTTTGGCTTTAAGATCATAGCCAGGAGCACTGCCAATCCAGCACCTAAACTGTGGCCTAGAAAATAAATGAAATGAAAATGAAATCTACTGTCTAGGAATATAGAACCTTTACGTTCACCAACAATACAGAAATCTGGGATTACCTGTCAAAATTAAACCATAATTTGGATAAAGATTGAAAGCTCGTTCCAAAATGCCAACATCATCGAGCCTCTTCTTTATGTATTGGGCACCTAAAAGCATGCCTTTGTGGGCCTATAAAATTAATGTAGTATATTAATGTCACTCATGTCTAGGACTTGTTTGTGGAAATGTTATAAATCAAAAAGAGATAAATACCATTGTATCTGGTGGGGCTCCAGCAACATTGAATTTTTCTGCGTTGGCTGTCAAATCAGTGAAAATATCTCTAATGGAGAACGACCCTCTCACTGCAACTACAATATTTGCTGTTTTGTGATCAGCAATCACACAGAAAGGTAACTGGAGGAGAAAATAATAATAGTAATGTATTTGGTAAGTTTCATAAGATTTGCCATGTTTTAACTTAAAATATATCAAGGTTTCTCTCACCTCAAATAAGTGGTTTCTAAATGAAGCGAAGAGGATGTCATGGGGGGGTACCTGTGAAAGGTACCGCACTCCTGCCAGGTTGCATAGGCAGCAGTTGTCCTCCATCACCAAAGTCGTCTTCGCCCTGCCAAGCATAAAGGAAAATAGAATCCATTGATCACGCAAGCCGCGTCGAGAAACAACCATGTCACATTTTAAAGAAAATCAAGATCGGCAAACCTGAAGCAGGCGCAGCAGGTCATGTGGGGCACCATCCTGAAGATTCCGGTGGCGCAGTACTGGTACATCACGAACGGCCACCCGTACGCGGACATGGACAGTCGCAGGAAGTGGCGACCCCTCTCGAGACACATCCAGGCGGGTGCATCGACGAACAGCTCCCGCAGGTCTAGGAGGGCAGCAGGAGAAGTTAGCCATAGCCCCAGTCCTCGAGCTCCACCCCCACCCTCACACCGAGCTCTCACCAATGGTCCGCTTGGGAGAAGGGCTCTCCCCGAGGAGGTCCAAACGCCGTCGCTCCCGCGTCTCCCTCTTCTGTTTGACCCTCAGCAGAACGGAACCCGCCAGGACGTCGGATGGGACGAGGTCCGTGCTCCGGAACAGCGCGGAAAGCAGCGCTGCAGTTAAGAGTCGCGTTCAAATTGCATCATTTCATGGGGCGTCTAGTTTGAGTTCACAGTTTATTATAATAATTTGGTCTATTTACGCGGTATTTTCAATTTCTCATTGCTCATTTGCTCAGTTGCCAGTTGGACTTACCGGCCACCTGCTGGAAGGCCTCGGAGCAGCCCTCGTCGCGGCGCACCCAGCAGAAGATGAGCCTGAAGCGCCGCACCCACATGCCGGCCACCCGGCGGTGGCGCGCCGACTCGAGCGCCAGCGGCTCCGAGTTCTGCAGGTGGGGCGGCCGGCGCAGCGAGCCGATGGGGTCGAACACCACGGCCAGGCCGAACACGGTGAGCGCGAACAGCACCCAGTCGAACAGCACCATCACTGCGGGGGAGAGAGGGAGAGTGTGAGAGACGGCCAGGGCTGGGCTGCGGGGGAGAGGCAGGCCCGCGGCGCACGCGTGTCGGGCGGGCCGGCCTACCCCGCGCCTGGGGGGCTGACTCTCCGCGCCCGCGTCCCTCGGCCTCGGCGACGATGCCTGACTACTGTTCTCTCTAAATTGACAGTGTGCGGCAACTCCCTACAGTGGGTTGCTGTGCACGCAGCTGAGCCCGCACTTCCGCACCCCTTTTTGCGGCTCGACTCACCTTCAACCACGGTCTTGGTGAAGCTCTCCGGACTGCACTGCACCAGGTCCGGACTGAAAGCCCACATGGTCCCCATCACGTTCCAGCACACCTCGGGGATGATGAGCAGCACCCTGGTGAGCAAAAGAAGGACGGTGAGCCTCGCGAGGGCCGCCGGGGAACAACCGGAGACGAGTCGTGGCGAGCGGGGCGGGACTCTCTTCACACTTACTTGAAGACGAGCACGGCGGGGACGTGCCGGCGAGCGCGCGTGTTCATGATGGAGCCCTGGGCCGACCGGTTGATGAGCACGGCGAGCGTGAGCAGCACGATGGTGAGCAGCGCGAGCATGCCCACGATGTAGGAGCGCACCAGGTCGCCGCCGCGCGCGCACTCCCAGGTGGAGGCGTAGTAGCGGCAGTACACCAGCGACACCAGCACCAGCCTGTCACAGTGACGCGTGGAGTTAATGCCGTGAACGGGTTTACCGCGTGGGTCGCATGGACCCGGATGCTTATCGGTCTTCAGGCCCCGTTGAACCTAAACGATGTTGATCTCGTCGGGGTAGTTGGATGCCGAGTGAAATGCACTCACCCGATGAGCCGGATGACGAACTCGAACAGGCCGGGGAAGACCATGTCGTCCGTGGCCGCCAGCCACTTGCGGCCCCATAGCTGCAGCGCCGGCATACTCTGTAACAGAATCCACCGCACTCCGTGAAAGAGAAAATCCCGAGAAAATAAAGGTGTGTGCCT